CAGAGCTTTAACGTCAATACCTTCGTCAACGCTCTCTTTAAATTCATTATGATTGCATTCAAAATTAGTGTCTTAAATTTTGTCTCAGCATCATTGCTCAGATTTAGTAGCCTGTGAACCTGTGGTTAATATATCGCAATCTAAACCAATGTAAGATTCCGCTGAGAGGCCTTCTTGGACAGCACTAGGATCTAACTCTTGCAAACTGTTAAGTTCTTCTGTCAAAGGTTTAAAAGGATAATTTTCTTCAGCTTCTGTAATATGCTGGTTTGTTTTGCTGATACCAGCTTTTTTAAAGCAATCGATGACGGTCTCTTGACACAGTTTTCCAAGAAGATCCAAAATCTTTCAATGCTTGAAGGATAAAATATTTTGGCAGGAGTTTGTTATTATTGTCAGCATTGATACACAACGCATAATTTTTGACAATAGTTTTAGATAATAGCTTTAAGACTTCGTATAATATTTTGATCCGTCGGCTGAAGGACAAATATATGGGAGTAAGATTTTTTGATGTTTCACACATAAAACTTTTACACATTGTGCCAAATGAGAAGGCTTTGAAAAAAAGTGGTATGGCGGAGGCCTAGAAAATAAAAAACTATAAAACGTTTACCTCCTTTCTTTCTTAAATGTGAGGGGATTGATTTTTTTTTCCGTATAAATTTATTAAAGTTGTAAACCATAATATAAATACATATAGCAGGGGCAAGAAGAAGACATTATTGGTCTTATCATCAAGCCCCTTAATATATACCGTAAATATAAAACAACAAAAGTTAAAAAATGTAAAACTATATAATATAAAACGTTTTTCTAAAGACTTTATAAAATAAAAATCACCGGTCCTAAAGTCCTACTTTAACTTTTTGATTTTGTATTGGTTAAGAAAAATTAAAAAAAAAAAGTAATTAGTACCAAGTACAAAGAAACTATATTACTAAAAAGCATGCAAGCAAATACGCATAATCCTAATGCTTCCTTTCACATCAGCATATACTCTAATTGTTGGGTAAGTTTAACATTAGCAATCATTAAAACTTCAAAAGATATGAAGATATTGGTGTTGTAAATTTTTTTATAAAGATGTCACAAATATTCGGTGACTATTCGTTATTCGGCCTAATTGAGTTTGCTAAACTTTTCTTATTACTTGCGTAGAGCATGTAATAAGAAAAAAATTCAATTAGGATAATGTTTTGCGTTTTCTGACCTCAACTTGTAAAGGTTTGGTGTCTAATTTAAGCAAATAGTTTCATGTAAAAACTAATTTCATTTGTAATTTGACTTTTCTATTCCACATCTTCATATGTATGCATATTTTCTTTAGAGTTTGGTTTTATCATTTTTATTTATATATATATATATTTACGAAATGGAGATAAATTATCACCGGTGCTACTAGACAACAGTGCATAAGTTCGAATTCGCTCTTATGCCAGTTTTTGCAACTGCTTTGCACTTATGCTAATGTTTGCATATTCTTTCAACGCATTTATGTCAATTCGAAATTATGTGGGTTTGCACATAATATATGCAATTTTATATTGGGAGGAATTTTATACAAGTGCGAATTGGCATAATTGTGCGAATTGCGAAGCACTTGCAAAAACATAAGCATAAGTGCGCCGAAAGAATTTGCAAAAATTGATTATGTCAATTTTTGCAAATTCTTTCACTTATTCAGCCACCCAATATAAAACACAACCGTATAACTGACATTTCGATTATAGTTTTGCTTCAAGTTCAGATTATGATGAAAATATCATTTTTAATAAATTTGGAGTTTTTTATGCTATATCTATAGCAACTTCACGGCTGTTTCACTCAATATAAAAGCGAGCTTGACGTCACAGCTATTTTTGTGTTTATCAAACAAAAAAAAAGTATTTCCGCAAAAAAAGTTTAAAAATGCACTAACTTTAAAATAGTAGTGTTTTTTTCCTATAAGCGCCTTCATCTTCAAATAAAAAAAATATAAAAGACCTATCTTTTTTTTTTTAAATAAATATTTACATTAAACGGAATAAAAATATTAATGTTTAAATATTGCTAACGATTTGGGAAAACCTGACTTGGGTCAACTAAGATATCATAAGATAGCTACATGCCTCATGGTTGAAATTTGGAACATTTATAAATAAATGTCTATTCTATCTAATTTTTGGTGCGGATTGCTTATTTTTTATTTTTTAACTATTTTTCAATGCATTTATATTTTTAATTTTATTATTAAATAATTAAAATCTTATTATTTTTGTAATCCGCACCAAATTATTGAAATTATGCATATAAAAATCAAAAAATTGTTTGCTGCACCTCTAGCTATGTTATGAAATATGTTTTCAAACTTGGCTAGTTTAGAAACAAATTTTTCTAGTTTAATGCAAAACAATCACGTGACCTTAAATTCTGTACGTCCCAAGCAAATATGTAATAAAATTTATGAAAACAATTTTCTCAGCGAGACGAATTTTGAAGTATAAAATAAACAAAGTTAGCCGGTTTTTTCTTTAGAATGGTGCATAAATCTATTATCAACTGGGTGTTCAAAGATCGTTTTCTACTTAAAGAACTTATTAATTGATAAACTCATTATAAAAAGTTTTTTATGAGAATAAAAACACATCAAACAATATAAATTAGCTATTTGTATATTTAAAGAAACGTTTTTTTATTTGTGAGAAAAGATTGATTCGAGTGCCATAAAATAATTTTATTAGCAAAAACGAGGTTAATTCAAAAACTTTAACTCAGTTTTGGTCATAAATTATTTTATTAGAGTCTTTATTTATTAACAACCTAACACCATATTATTAAAACTGTATGCATAAAAAAGAATTGCTTAAGTTTTTTAAAGGCTTTAGCTTAAAATGTTAGGACTAAATATTTCAAAACTGAAATCTGGTTTTATCTTATAATGCATTAAATTTAAAAAATTAGTGAACTATTTTCTAAAACAAGAACTGCTAGATTTAAAAACGTGCTCATTTGACAGCTAATCCCCCTCTTTAACGACATTTTTCATAATTTTGCAAAAAATGCGGTTTGCTTGCAGACATCAATAAAGAGTGTTTCAGTTTACCTTTAACAATTAAGTAAGATTTTTTTTTTTTAATAATAGTTAAACAATGAGTATATTTGATAATAACTATCAGAAATATATTTTTCTGAATTTTTTTTGATAAAAAGTAACAACAAATTATTAAAATTTAACCAAGTTCATCATTTGACGCGCTTTTTATAAACTAAAAGAAGTTTTTTTACTATTGTATTAAATGTCGTATGATAAAACATTTTATTTTTGTTTTTATTCATTTTACAAAACAAAATTATCTCAAATATTTCAAAAGTTATAAATGTTTTAGTAACACCCCCTAAGTCAAAATTTTCAAAAAAAACAAACAAGAAGCCGTAAAGCTCACTCTGAAACAGCCGTATCTTTTTTTTTCAAGTTGATTAAGGTGTTCCAAGAAGTCCTTACGGTCTTATCACAGAGCACCGCGGAAGAGCATTTAATAGGAAGTTCGCGCCTCCTTCCCAAACGATATCGCAAAACTTGCCCAGAGGTGGGGTTTGAACCAAGGATCTTACGTTTCTGAGACAAGTGCACTACCACTGCGCCACGGCTGCTCTAACTTGTGAAATTACCTCAGAAATGCAAGATATAACTAAGCTGTTTATTTTTGAAATCTTTTTGAATAGTATAAAAAGTATGATTTTTATACATAACTATAGTTAAAACTGATGTATAATGACCAAATATAATAACAAATTAAATAAGTTTCATCATATATTTGGTACTTCGGCCAAGCACCTAACCGAATATTTGGTATTTGGCAAAATCACTATTTGTAACATCTCTAATTTTCAACTTAAAAATTTTAAACTAAATTTAAACTCATCGACAGACTTTTAATTTCCTACAAAAGTATTTACAAAAGTTTATGACGACGATCATGTTTACGACAATGCAAATTTTCCGATCTTCCCAAAATGAGGGAGTTGAACATTTTGCATCGTCATAACTTTTGTAGTTTACAATACTTTCGTACAAAATTAAAAATCTGTCAATGAATTTAAATCTAGTTTAAAATAGTAAATTTGAAAATTTTACTACATCAGTACCCTCATAATTAGGCAGAGGAGATGGGCAAACGTTTTAGGTTTTTTTTTTGTTCCTAGGCCTCCACCATCTGATTTTTTGCATGGCCTTCTCATTTGGATCGTTATTACATTAAGCTTAGAGTTTTTACAATGCTTGAAAGTCTCATATCTGAAACATCAAAAAATCTTGCGGGCGTCCATGGGCAGACGTAGTGTTCGGGGAAAAAATATCTAATTGGTGTTGCTTAGCCAAATGGTAACACAAACTAACACAACAATAATATTATAAGTAAAAAATTTAACGCAATTATAACGGTTACATAACGGTAAGTGAAAAATTTAGCGTTATGTTAACCATTATGTTAGTAAAAAATATGTCTTAAGCATTGTGTTCCCCAAAATTATTTGTATATTTGTTTATATATAAAAGTATAAATAGCGTTATGCTAGCCGTTATGTTACTTTAAATAAGTTAACATAATAGTGTTATTGTTGACTACCAAACTCAAAGAAGATTGATACTCAAAACCATAAAAAGACTCCAAGTTGGCTAATGATCTATTTAGCGAATTAAGCGTAGATAAAAGTCATTAAATTTAATAAAAATAATGGGTAATTACCCCTTATTTCAGGTTTTCAAACATAACTCTATGTAAAGTGTTATGCTTGAAAACTTGACAGCACGAGCAATTAACACCGTTTTATTATTCCCATGTTGCAATAATTATCATTCTCATAAAGTGACGAGTATAATGTATTCACTTTATCATAAAAACCTATGTATAACTTTTTTTTATAGAATCAATTCTTAATTCATAAATAAAATATTAAATTTAATATAAACATAACAACACACGCAACACATTTAAACAACATAAATAAAAAGTGACAAGTTTTTAGCAGATTTAAATTTTTTATTTAATTGCGAATTTTTTAAACAGTTTATTTGGCTACTCTGACGAAACTAGTAGATAAAATTGTATTCGTTATAAATCCTCTTGATGCGTTTTTTTGAAATTCTTAACCATTTGTTTAATTAAGATAATGCCTTCAGATAAACATTTAGACGAATTATCTTGGCTATCTGTTGAGTCTAGACATTCCGATTCAGGAGTCTTATTTTTAAAAACTAAATGTTTTATGACAAGTTGTTGATATTCATGTAATATTTTATGATCAGAATCACTGATACGTTTTTCTAGATACGCTATGAGCTGAGGAACACATCTTCCAGGTGCGTGAAGTAACATACCTGTTTGATATTGGAAAAGTAAAACACATGCTAAATGAAGTCCCATCGCTGGATCTGTTTCATTATCCAATTGGTCGATTAAACTCTGACGGTGATTAAATAATATCTGTCTAAAAATAAAATGCTACAGTAGCACAATAACAAAAAAAAAATTTGGAAGAAAAGAAATATAAAAAAATTATGTAAATTAAATGTGGTTAAAAAAACAAACTTTTAAAACATAAAACAAAACTATTAAAACTTTTTAACATATTTTCAAACAAAATTTACTTAACACATCGATATATTTACACAACTTCCAAATAACTACCTTTCTTTTTTTTTATCCATCTTTTTAATAGCCAAATCACAATGATTAATGTCTGTAGCACGATCTAGCTGAATAAAGAAGTCTTCAAGGTCCTATAAAATAAATTCGTAATAAACAAAATATCAAAATATTCAAAATATACTATTCTTTATTCTTAAATTTATAAATGCTAAAAATGTTACTTCTACATATAACATAACGTTAAGTAACGAGAACTAAAGCGAAATAAGTGCAAGCAAGCACTCAATCAAACAAAATTTTTAAATCTGCTAATGGTGACCTAGTGTTTCTTAGTTTTTCATTTTTCAATATTAGAAAAAATATAAAGGTAGCACTGATTAAAGTTCTTGTCCCTTTTTTGTTACTGGCACTATAATGGCAGAAACTTCTGATCAACTAAATAGTGTTAAAATGATTAAAAACCACAAAACAACTATTTAGAAAAAAAATCTTTTTCATCCATTTAACAACTATATTTTTTAAAAAACAATTCATTACCTTTCCCCCTAAAGAACTATTCAATTTTGTCATAACTTCTTTCCAGTCTCCAGACAATTTATTTAGAAGTTTTAATCGAGTCTAAAATTGAAATATATAGCTTGACAAAATGTTAACTAGAGTGGTAAAAATTGACTATATCAAAATATTTAAAGTCGTTAAAGAAACAAAATTAACTAGGAAAGCACCTTACGTCTTGAGTAAAAACTTCATTTTCAGAGAGTGACATTAAATGTTCACTTGCAACTAGTTCACATATTACATTAACAATATCAGTACCAATTGTTTTTAACAAATGCTTAATCAATAAAATACGAGTTTCACCTATATAAAATAAAAAAAAAATTTCAATTATCTAGTTGTTATCATTATGTATTGCTTATTTTATTTTGTTACACATGTTATACAGTAACGACCAAGATGAATAGACATATTTTGTTATATTTTCTCATGAAGTTACCTATTTTTAAAATAAATTTCTTATAAATATGTAAAAATTATACTAAAACTATGAAAAACATAAAAAAATATCACATTTGTGAAAAATAGGCTAGTATTATAAAGTTTCGTATTTAAAGATTTTCCTAACCGAGCATTAAAAGTGAGAGTTTTTTAAATGTTTAAAATTTATTTATAAATTTCATTTGATTGTACACGCAAATTAAGTACTGTTGTTTTCCATTGTATATAATTTTAACTTCGTGTTATGAAGATGTGATATGTAGGTGAAAACTAGGAAGTACTTCATGAACTCTTAATAAAATAAGTTTCTTATTGAAAAGCAACTTAGTACAAAAAGTTCCTTGAGATTTTGAGGCTTCCTGTACTAGTTTCTTATAAATAAATTTCTTTAAAAAAAAAAAAAGATGTGTAATTACTCAAAATCTTATTAAAAGAATGGAAAAGCTTAAAATTAATTGGACAAACTATATATGTCCTTTAAAAATAATATTGCCACAACTAATGATAAATTTCAGCATTTTTTTATGACTTCTGCTACATAATGCATGTAATGTAGCATTATGTTGCAATCTGTTACACATTGCATATAATCTGTGTATAATGCAATACTTGGTTGGCTAATACACTAAATACTTGGATAAAAAAAACTTTTGCTGCAATGACACTATTGCATCTTTAGCATTGAACCAACCGAATTCTTTACATCAATTGATTTTCCTCCCAAGTGTGTTTAACCAACCCTAACAAATCATGCTGATTAGCTGGTTTACAACCACTAATTCTTCTCCCAATGTGCTTACAAAGATATTTAATTGGGTTCATGTCTGGAGATTGCGATGGTTGTTCTAAGGTTTAAATTTTCCTTTGAACAAAAAATATTGTGACTAGCTTATGTGTGTTCTTTGAATTGCTGTCATGCTGGAATATCCAACCAAGTTACATTTCATTTTTTCCATTTTTCAGCATTGTATCCTTGATTATTCTTTTATTTAAGTTTTTGTCCATATTGCCTTGAACTCAATAGATTGAACCTACTTCATCGCAGCTAAAACATAAGCAAACCATTACTGAGCCACCACTTAACTTTTGAACATTTTTTTTTGTGCTGTTTAATCTATATGTTTTTTTTTAAATCTAAATTGTGCTCTACAATTTTAGTGGGTAAACAGAAGCTTTCTTAAAGCATTTGATCCAGCTTTTTTTATTGTGCTGTTTAATTTAAATGATTTTTAGCAAATTTCAATTGTGCTCTACAATTTTTTGGGTAAACAGAAGCTTTCTTGAAGAGATGACAGCCAAAAAAGTTTTGTCTTAATCAAGGCTTTACTGTTGCATAAGAGCAAGAGATTTTATGTAACCGTATCTATATGAAAATCTTTGGAAATCTAGCATGGATTTCACTATGAAACATTTACAAAATTTGTTAATTGTGGCTTTCCTGACTTTAGCAGTACTTGGAAATCAGTTGTCAAAAAACTTTCAATGTATAGCTAATTATCGATTATAGAATGTTTTTGTTCAAATTCGTTGTTCTTTTTTTTAATTATTAAAATACTCCAAGAAGATCTAACATTTTCTATAGATGTTTTCACAATTAACAGCCTTTTCTATAGATGTTTTCACAATTAACTTGTTAGCAGCTAAAGGTAAACAAATAAATATAAAACTACAGATTTTATATTAAATACAGATTGTCCCATTTATGATAAATTATGATAAATTATGATAATTGATTTTTGAATGTTTTTATGCAAATACGCATTTACAAAAAGTAGTTTAATAAAAAAAAAAAAATTAAAAAAAGTTATTGGAATAAAGTTTGTCCAAATACTTTTGAGCCAATTTTAAATAATTTCTTCTAAATGTGATACTTTTTTAAATGTTTTTTATAATTATAGTAAAATTTGACATATTAAAAAGAAATTTAAAAAAAGTGAAGACTTGGTGAATAGAACATTACGAAAAAGTCCAATAACTTAAAAAGACTATATAAAGTGTATTCAATTCAATTATATTATTATATATTCATTGGTGTACTCTACTATATAATGTAGTATATAATATTTTTCTATATTTTTTCTTCTATACTGGTGTACTCTACTATATAATGCAGTATATATTATTTTTCTATAGATTCTTTTATATTTTAATTTTATATAGAAACGTGATTATTTTTCTTAACTTCTACATCAAAATTTTACAATATTCTTTTTCTAAACATTCTGGAATATTTAAAAAAATAAAGAAATAACTCTATTTTTTTCTAATCATCCAGATATACAAATTACCTTCAAATAGATTTAAACCCTTCTCAAACAGCTTCATATTAGCCAATAAACCATTAACCTTTTCTTGGTAGTCTTGGTGAGAGTTTTTTTTAGTGAGTGAAACTGATCCTGCAGTTGATACAAAAACATCTTTTACAACATTCTGATATTCTCTAGTCAATGGCCTAACAATATGAAAACAAAATATTTATAGAGGTTACAAGAAAGTTTCACATAAGAACATGAAAAAAAATCAGACTATTAAAATAAACAGGCTAAAGAATATTTAGTAATAAATAATATTTACAATTTCATAAAGAAAACAGTTGTAGTCAAGAGAAGTTTTGAAAATCCTACACAGTTAAATATTGTTACACCATGAAAAACTTTATACTCTATTCTCATATTCAAAGGATTTATAACCTGAATAAGTATGAAGCAATTTCATGAACAAACTCACTATCTTCACAATCTTTCAGTTCCGATTTTAAAACTTCTTCAATCTTAAAATAAGCATTAATTTACATATATGTATATATATATATATATATATATATATATATATATATATATATATATATATATATATATATATATATATATATATATATATATATACATATATACATATATACATATATATATATATATATATATATATATATATATATATATATAAATATTTGTATATTTAAATAGTATTGCGTACTAAGGTAAGCAATCTGACATCATACTGAAATAGCCTGCTGCTGGGGGCTTTAGTACATACATTGACTGAAAAATAGCCTAACTCGTAGTGAAGTGCTGCTACATTGAAAAAAAACGGTATGGCTTAAGGTAAGCAAAAAAAGTAAGCAAATGCTTATCAAAACACGCATATATATATATATATATATACGCGTATATATATAAATACTTATCAAAACGTGTATATATATATATATATATATATATTTTTTTTTTTTTTAACATTTTCACTTCCAACAAGGCTGCAAGCAACCACTATAAGAGTTGGAAGTTACTGGAAGAGAAAAGACTAATTCTGTAGAGCAAGATAACGATTGACTGATGACTTAAAAGATTTCAAATTATATGAATCAGGAAAGCAAGATGAAGGAAGCGAATTCCAAAGAACTGATGTTCGAGGAAAAAAACTAGAAGAATAAGAGTTTTTGAAGCACTTAGGAACAGTCACAGAAAAAGGATGAGACTTAATTGAATGGCGAGTAACACGAGATTGAATATATATATATATATATATATATATATATATATATATATATATATATATATATATATATATATATATATATATATATATATATATATATATATATATATATAATTCCCTTTATGCACAAAAAATCTAAACATTTTAATAAACATAACAACTTATAATTATTAAAACCATCTTATTAATAAAAAATCCATCTTATTCATCTTGACTTTGTGTTCATTTTGGCTAATTTATAAAAATATAAAAACATCAAATAAACAAACAAAACACCAATACTCTACCAAAACCAAAAATCAAAATTTTTTCTTATATTAATTTTATTTAGAAAAATTTAGACTTTTTGAACTCAGTTTTTTTTTCAACTAAAAAAACAAACTGAATTCAATTGCTAAAAAAAAAATTGCCATTTGGTAAATTTATTTGTAAAATTAATATTTACCTTGCTTAAAATTTCAAAACTCTTTTTTAAAAAAACCCTATTCCTCTAGAGTTCAAATTGCTTGTGATCTTAAAAATCAATAAAATTACATCCTGCACATACAAATTATAAATTCAAATGATTTGTGAATTTATAATATAAACATTACAAGAGACACACAAAGTTCTCTATCTCCCAGCTAATTAAAATCATTTCAGGCAAATAAATTATAAGTGTTTTTCCATTTTCAATTAAGTTTTGAGTGAAAACTTAAAAACAGCATGCTAATTGAATGATTAAACCTGATAGGAATAAACAGGTTAACTATGTCCAAATGGCTTATTTTGTAATCATATTGTTAATAGTTTGTACATAGCAATTACATCCTAAATTTTTAGGCTTTAGAATTTAAATATACAAATACTTTTAATCATCATTATAGATCTTTTCTCTTCAAATATTTTGATCTTCGATCTTTAGATCAAAAGACTTTTAAATTAAAAAAAAAGTTTTAAGTTTTATTTTTATTGGTTTTATTTTAATTTGTTTTATAATTTGTTAATTATGGTTTGTTTATTTTTAATTTGCTAGTTTGGTTTTTCAAGTACATTTTTAAAACATACAATATATATATATATATATATATATATATATATATATATATATATATATATATATATATATATATATATATATATATATATATATATATATATATATATATATATATATATATATATATATATATATATATATATATATATATATATATATATATTATAGATCATCCAGGTCATATTTTTAAAATCCGGAAAATTGTTTGGGTATAATATCCGTAAAAAATCCGGAATTTAATTTCCCTTATTTTATTCTTAATTTTGCTTTTAGCTGAGTTATTTCCAATATTTTTTCCAAAATTTTTTTAATTTTTGCATAAGGGATAAGTGAAAAAGCTTAAAAAATAAATATATTACAAAAATATACACCTAAACTTGTATGTATGGAAAACGTTTTGGATATCCGGAAAAACCACATGCTGAGAAAAATATCCGGAATTCCAAAAATATCCGGAAAAAGATAATCCATGATATAAATATATATAAATATATATATATATATATATATATATATATATATATATATATATATATATATATATTTTTTTCTTGCAACGTTGTCAGAAAGTTTTTCCATATTTTGTTGACATAAAAAAAAAATTTAAATGCAAGACCGGAAATTTTTTTTTTAATTATTTGATAAACTGCCTGCCCAAATCAAACCCTCAGTCGATGTAGCAGCACTCTTTGGTGAATCAGGTTAATTATCAGTCGATGTAGCAGCACTCCATTGTGAGTCAGGCTATTTGTTAGTCGATGTAGCAGCACTTCGTTGCGAGTCAGGCTGTTTGTCAGTCGATGTAGCAGCACTCTGTTGCGAGTCAGGCTATGAGATAGTCAATGTAGCAATGATTTACAGTAAAAAAAGAGTTAAAATAAAATATTTTATTTAAAAAAAAAAATAAAAAAACATTGTTTATATTTTTAAAAACATTCGGAATGTTTTTAAAAACATTTTGGTCAATGTAATTTGCGTTTTTACGTTTTTTTAAAAAAGTGATTAAATTGATGGTTTTTAACATAATAAATGATTTAAAACATTATAAAATAAATTGTAATATAAATTTAAAACAGCATACTTGTTCAACAGAAAAAAAATTGACTAGTTGACTGCTTGTTGAAATTTTTTTTGAATCAGCAAACTCTTCATTTTCATCATTTTCTTTTTCATTCCCTTTCAAACGCTCTCTATATTTGTTCTTTGTTTTCTTTGTTGATGATTCTCTGGCACCTCTACCACCTCCTCCTTTTTGACCACTACCAGAATTTGCTTTTTTGTTTCGTTCATCTTTTTTTGCTTGTTTGCCATCACCAGTACCTGACTCGCTGACATCAATTTTTTCTTTGCGAGTAAGTTCAGCAAAAAGAGCAGGAGATGTTTTAATATCCTACAATTTCAATCATCAATCGTCATCAATATAGTCATGATTATCATCATCAAAACCATGATAATCATTGTGATTATCACAATCATTATTATCATCATGATCATAATGATTATCACAACTGTCATCATCATTATCATCATCATCATCATCATCATCATCATCATCATCATCATCATCATCATCATCGTCATCATCATCAAAAGCATCATTATCATCAAAAGCATCATCCTTATCATTAAACTTTAATTAAAAATAATTACCTTATTGGCTTTTTGTTTCATCAATGGGTAAAAAAGTTGTTTACAATGATCTAAGTAAGCATGACTTGACACAACTCGTTCGCAAAACACTGTTGCAGAGTTTTTATTGATTTTCAAGCAATGTTGGAGTAACATATTAGTATCTTCATTTGAAAAGGAGAAGGAACAAGAGGCTAACAACATCAATAAATATGTATGTATGTTTGTATATACATATATACATATATATATATATATATATATATATATATATATATATATATATATATATATATATATATATATATATATATATATATATATATATACATATATTTATATATATATATATATAAATATATATATATATATATATATATATATATATATATATATATATATATATATATATATATATATATATATATATATATATATATTGTTTAAGTGATATCGTTGATAATATATTTTATATTTAAATATATTAACATTATCTATTATACTTCTATAATACAAAATATAAATATTGTTCCTATTGTTCTGTATATAATGCAAAAAAAAAATATGAATTGAACTTTTGTCATATTTTGTCAAATAATGCAAAAGTTTTAAAAATTGATGAGAATTTAATTTTATAAAATATTCAGCAAACCTATTTACCTTTATATCAATGAAGGATTTATTTAGAAGAGAATCTTGAATAGCAGCATCAACTTGGTCAATTATGTGGTGATTGACACAACAGGAAGATAACAATAAAATATTGCCAGAAAAACGTTTCTTCATGAACTGTTGTCCATCATTAATACCTAACTTCACCAAGGTATTATACTCTAAATCAAATAAATGCAAATATAAAAAAATAATATAATATATTTTTGATAAATATAAAAAACTTATTTAATAAAGTTACCTATATACCCATTTTGATTGAAAAATGAGTCTATATAGTTTGTTTGTGTTTTAGAGTAAATATCAGGTGTAAATATAGCTTTTTCATGATATCCCTGTATACTACCACATAAACGATGAGTATTCATAAGAGTTTCCAGAACACCTAGAATAAAACAAGTGTGTTAGCATGTAAAATAAGGTACCAGTAAATCAACTGCAATGTAAAAATCATAACTAAAAACTTATAAAACAACTTAAAACTTTTTCAACAACAACTCTAGCAACATTTTAAAACCAGAAGATACTAGATTCCAAACCCCTTACAAAAGCTACTAGATTTGAATAGATTCAAAATCCCTTACTAACACACATAAATCAGCAACACTATAAAAACTCATCATATTGTAAAAAAAATTTACATACTGTAAAAAAACTTTTCTGGTAAACCATATTGAGCAATCAGTTGTATGACATGGACAGGTCTAAATAAATATTTTTTATTTAAAATATTTAAATCCATTCATTAATCAATTTAATTAAATATATTGTCAAATCAAGTAATTAAATATATTGTCAATGTATCGCTTTTTATCACTGTTTCAAAATATTTATTGTTATCTAATATTAATTATTGTAACTTATTAATATCAAATTAAAATTAATAATATCATAGTAAATTTCATCATAATTTAAAAACTTCATGATAATTTAAAAAATTCAAAATAATTTTTTTTCATTTTATACCTTTATTGATATAATTTTATACCTATAAATAATTTATTGATAACTTATAAGAATTTATTCCTTAAAATCAAAAACATACTTGTTGAAAAAAAAATTAGATTAAAATTTAATCAGTGACAATCCTGTTTGTATACTTTTATATCATAGTCAATAGCAATTCTGGTCTGGAAAAGCTATTGTCGTATGTTATTGTTCGCTTTTTTTTAAGTCACGTGATCAAATCTAGTGCAAAACAAAAAAAAATTTTATAATGAAAGTTACAAATTAATAAGGATTTTGATGTTTATTTTAAATTAATATATTAAAATTATTATTTTTCTTTATTATTAAAATAATATTGTTTCCTTTCTATTGTCTATGGTTTAAAAACTTTATTCAATTTAAAATGTTTCTTTTTATTCTATATTTAAAAAAAGTCTAAAAGATAAATCCAAAATGCCAGGTTCAAATTGTTGCCTACCAGGATGTACAGTTTCAAGATCTATTAAGCACAAAGATATCACCTTATTCGGAATTCCTATAAGGACAGGAGACTTCTATATAAAATGGAGACAGAGATTATTAGCTGTTATCACTCAGTATAGAGACTTTGACAAAGATTTGAAAGAAAGACTCTCAAAGGGCAATATTTATATATGTGAGAATCATTTTTTAGCAGAAGATATTGAATTGACAAGTAAGGATACTTTTATATATTTAGTTGTTTAAATTTGCTTTTACACTCTGTGTTATTTAATTCCAAAAGCATTAATTTTGGGCAACTCTGATAAGTTTAAGTACAATAAACAAAAAAATTTCATAAAGCCTAAAGAATTTGTGGCTTTATATAAATTTGTGGATAACATATTCTCTTTTTTTCTCAGTATAGTTCTCAGTATTGTTCTTATTTTTGTGTGATAATTTATATATACTTAATTGAAATATGTTGAATTTCAGAAACTTTCTGGGAAGCAGTTGGAGTTTTAGAACTGACATGTAAATTATGTTATAGCTGCAGTATCGGATGGTGCAGCACCAAACAGAAAGTTCTATCCAATGCATTGTATGTTTGATGACAAATTAGATTGTAATGTTGTTCATCGATGCATTAATTTTTATGCCCCTGAACGGTAATTATGGTTTTTTGCTGATGCTCTCCATCTCATCAAAACAGCAAGGAACTATTTATATCACTCAGGTATGTAAATTATATTTATAGTGTATTGGTTTACAGGCCTTTTCAGTAGAAATGCTATCTAGAAAAATGGAAAGAATTTATTATTAATCGTCCTGGTAACTTTTCCAACAATGCAAAAAGAAGAATGTTTATCTCTTGGCAAACATACAAAGGACTTCAAATAACTGTAATGTCTGTTATCGAATTGGTAAAATTTTTATTAAAAAGTAGTATGCCATTTGTTTTGACTGAAAAATTCAATCAAGACAATTTGGAGGAATACTTTGGTAGACAACGGAGTTTAGGTCGAAGAAATGACAACCCTACACTATATCAATTTGGTTACCAGTCAAATACCTTGCGATTGCAAAGATCAATTGCGCCGGTTACTGGAAATACTAAAGGTGGTCATGGTCAAAAATGTGAGGTATCTTGGAGTGTTGTTGATAATGAAAAGTTACCAAAACGAAAAAAAAACCCTATAAATATAATCTAAATATAAACATAGCATATAACAAAATATATCAATTATTTGTATTAAGTTTAAAGTTTAAATCTTTATTTATTGTTTGATTTACATTTTATACTTTTTCTTAAAGATTTTACTTTAAAACTTTGATCATTGTTTTTGCAGTTATATTTTTAGCTAATGAAAATGTACTCTAAAATAAAGTTCTATCATTTTTTCTAACAAGTTATTTATGAAGTACACTTAAATATAGACATTAAAAAGAAAGAATCTAAATTTTGTTTTACAAAAATTAAAGTGTTCTAAAATCTTCTTGCTTGATTTTTTTATATATACATTTATTTTGCATTTTACACATTTAACATTTTCTATATATGCTTTTTATATATAAATGTATTCTAAAAACAATATAATCATAAAAATAATTTACTAATTTAAATAAAATTGTAGACAAAGTAAAAATTTGCACCTTGTTACAGCACTGAATATTCCTCGGATTTTTGCAATATTTCTTGCAATAAAAGCAGATGTAAACAGAACATCACGATTTATTGGATCTAACGAGCCACGTATTATTGTACCAAGCTTTGTTTCAATCACCTATCAAGATATTTGGTTAAAAGTAAACAAAATGTGTAAATCAATGAACTTTTTTGAAATATGTTTATTTATAATATTTTGTTTTTATTTATTAATTATTTGTATCAAAAACAATAAATAATAAGTGGAAATTAGTAAATTAAATGTCATTACCTTTAAAAAATATGAAAATATTTTATACACATAAATTAACAAATAAGAAAAAAATATACATAAATTTTGCAGCAACTGTTTTTGTTCTGCCTTTACTATGACGGAAAAAACACAAAAATTACTATTGACGGAAAAAACACAAAAAACAAACAGTTCTATTTGTGTTAATAAGGTTTAACAAATTCACATCAAGAGCTAATCCACTGTTATTCAGGGTAGTAGCCCTCTTAGCTCCTGATTGGGGGTAATCCACTGTTATTCAGAGTGGTATCCCTCTTATTAGTAAATAGAATAATATTATTAATGGCAAAAGTATTATCAATGGCAAAAGAAAAAGAAAAGGATTTTGAACACAATCCAATATCTGCACTAACAAACTGGCCAAAAATGGCTGGTCAACCATCAGAAACAACTACTAGACATGACTGTCGGATTAAGTCATTCGCAACAACAATTAAATTTCTCACAGAGAAAATATCAACACTTGAAACGGACAATGTTGCTCTTAAACTTGAACTACAACAAATTTAAGAGCATCAAACAAAACACAAACTTCACAAACGTGTACAGTAAATTTAACAGCTTGGTCAGAGGTTGTAGCTAACCCCAAATCAATAGCAGCAAAGGCTATTGCAAAGTTTACTGAACAAAATAATAAGATGCAAGCAACTAAGGCAACCCGTGTAGTCATTTATGGTCTTCCTTGCGCAAAAAGTTACGATGATGATAAAGCTGCTGTAAAAGGTGTTATTAAGGCCATTAAAACAGGTTCCAGTCACAAAATAGTCCATAAGCTTCCAGCAAATATAAGTGCTCAAAAGGACTCTCCAACTGCTCAACCTATTATTGTCCAATTTGAATATGTGGAAACTAGGAACAGTATACTAGCTTCTGCAAAAAATCTATCAAAATTTGACAGTTACAGGAACAAAGTTTTTATTAGTCCAGACCAAACTCCTTCTGAGGTTGATACTTTTAACAAGCTTAATAAAAATAGGAAAAAGTACAATGACGCTCTAAAGACAAATAATGCACTCAATCAGCCCTTTTGATTTGTCATCCTAGGAGGGAGGCTCAAATGCATCAACACACAAAAAACAATCAATATTAATGGTACTGAGAAAAACCCGTTTGGTGACTGGAAAGAAGCTTGCACAGTTGCAGGACTATCATATGTCATTCCAGTCTGAACAATTAGCTAATCAATCAGCACATACGTCGGCACCAAACAAAAGCAATCTTCATCAGAACAAATCAAAATCTCTCCGTTGCTTCTATACCAATGCAACTTCACTCAATAAAGACAAAATTACTGAACTCCAATTATTAGCTGAACAAAACAAATATGATCTAATTTTTATAACTGAAACTTGATTCAATTCTACTTCTACTCCATCAATCAATAACTATATGCTATTTAGGAAAGATAGAATTAGTTACGGAGGTGGTATAGCAATTTATGTTCAAAATGATATAATGGCATGTGAACTAGACAATTTGCAGCTAAATAAAAACTTTAAATGCAAAGAATCTGAACAAACTTTGGGTTGCCATCAGAAAAATTTCTAGAAAGTTGTATTTATCGCCCTGAGAGGAACTCACCAACTGCTTCAGTGCAAATAAATGAAATAATTTGTGCTCTTGGTTACGCTAGATACTTAGTTGATACAAAAGTATATAATGGCTTAATTGTGACAGGAGACTTTAACTTTCCAGGCATAACTTGGCAATCTGACTGGAATATCACATCTGACAATGAAAATAGTCTTGAATACAGTTTAATGATGCTCTCTGTAACAACCACCTCTACCAGTATGTCAAATGTCCAACTTTTATAAAAACTGATGGAAATCTTAGCAACACACTTGATCTAATTATATCAGAATCAAAAAATAGAATCAACAAATTTTTAACAGGACCTTGTCTTGGTACAGCCTCTTAAGGGCATATATCTCTTAGCTGGCAGCACAATTTAAGCAGTAGTAATCAAAATAGTTTTAACAGCAAAAAATTCCTTTATAAATATGGTAAATATGATGAAAAAAACACTTTTATAAATAACATAAATAACATAAATTGATGTTGAGAAATGTTATTCCATATGGTCTAACCTTTATAATGAAGCATGCCATAAGTTTATTCCAAAGGCATCAAAAAATACTGCCAAAAAAAGGCAACCCTGGATCACAAACAAGTTAATGAAGCTAATTAGACTAAAAAAAGAGCTCTGGTACAAAAATGCAAACTCAAAGTGGAAAAATGCAGCGCACATCACAGAGTATACAGCTGTCAAAAAGGAGGTCAAAAAAAAGCAAACAAGCATTACGTGTCTATGAGTCAGAGCTAGCTAGCGACAAGCACAATCCAAAAAGACCATTTGCATATTAATAGTAAACGGATAGTGAGCAATCAAATATCAGCCTTAATCTCAGATTCAAACCAAATGAGCAGTGATGGAATAACAAAAGTAAACATTCTCAACAACCAATCTCAATCAGTTTTTACAAAGGAACCACTGACCCAGCCACTAAAACTTTTTGCATCCAAAACAAATGTTTTAACTTCGGATATAACAATTGACCAAAACATTGTTCTCAAACACCTAAATATGCTTGATGGAAATAAGTCAATGGGTGATGATAACATTAGTCCATTTGTTTTAAAAGCATGTGCCACATCAATGGCAGTTCCGCTAACTTTGATTTTTCAACTTTAAATAAAATCTGGAAAGGTTCCACTATCTTGGCTCAGAGCTAATGTTACACCTATTTATAAAAATGGTAGCAGAACAGATCCAGCTAATTACAGGCCCATATCGCTCACTTCTGTTCCATGCAAACTTATGGAAAAATAGTTAGACAAGTAATAATCAATCATTTGGTAAATAACAAATTGCTTTCCAAAACTCAACATGGTTTCGTTTCAAAAAAGACTTGCATCACAAATCTTTTAGAAACAATGGACTTTTTGATTTTTAGCAAATCAAAAAAAAAACCAGCTGACCTAATTTTTCTTGACTTTGCAAAGGCATTTGATAAAGTTTTGCATGTAAGATTACTGCAAAAGTTTGAAATGTATGATATAAATGGCAATCTTCTAAACTGGATAAAAGCCTTCTTAACAAACCGCAAGCAGCGTGTTATACTTGGAGAAACAAAATCTGTCTGGATTGATGTAACTAGTGGTTTTCGCCAAGGTTCAAACACATATGTTTTTTTCTTCAATTATGTGGTGTATTTTTAAACACGCTATGCAATACAGTTGCGCTTTTTACAGTATCTAACTAAAAATATCTAGTTTTTATTTTCAGATGTTTTTTATCTAATTTTTATCTTTTACCTCTAATATGAAATGCTTCTTAGCTTAGATACCTTTAAAAATTTCCCCATCATTCCCATGACTTTTGCACTACCCAACTATCCCTTACTCAGCTAAAATGAATGGTTGTGAATGAAGTTTATTTTTAACCAAACAAAGTAGCAACAGCAACAACATATTGTACATTAACTAATTGCCTTGGTTTTTAACCATCATTGTACAAAAAACAAATATGGTGTCTAAATACATAGGCAGCATCCTTAACCTTGAACTTTTAACAAAATAAAAGGAAACAATTAATCTATTTAGTATGTTAATGAATTAAAAAAAGTTCTTTAATATATTAATATTATAATATATAAATATACTTTTTTTATTAACATATATTTTATATATTATAATATATATATATATATATATATATATATATATATATATATATATATATATATATATATATATATATATATATATATATATATATATATATACATACTTTAATTTAACCTAGTTACAATCTAAAAAAATACTTACAGATAATAAAAAATCTGCTGAAAGATTAAATGATGTAGCAATATCTGCAATAGCAACTTGACCAGCCTCTTGCAGTGTTTCATTGATTTCTTCAGCAACCCTATCTAAATAGTCTCTAAAAACATATGTTTAACCTTTAAAATAAGCAAAACAACTTTTATAAATTAAAAAATAACTTTTTTTTGTTGGATTTTTTAGTTTTCAACAGTTGTTTATTTTTGTTTAAAAAAAAAGTGAGAAAAAAAAAGTTTTGGCTAAAAATCATTTTTGTAAAAAAAAATAATTTTTTGTAAGAAAAAGTCTTGTAAACTGTGACCACATTTTTTCAATCAGTTTTAACTACTGCAACATTCAAAAGAGGATATATTAAAGTCTATATTGTGCTATTAATACTGTGCTATAATAAAAACAACATGATCATTGAATATGAACTTAAATTATCCTAACTAACTTGTCTAGAAGTTGTCCTTGTATCAAAATAAAATGTCGATCTCCACGTACAAGATCATTAACTCTACATTCTATGTGAGATAAATCAATATTCAGAATCTAAAAAACAAAAATGCTTATCATATTAGGATTTGGTGAGGTGAATCATATTTCATCATTTTTTGAATTTAAACCTCCACCTTAATTCAATAACTGATTATTTATAGAAAAAAATACATGTGAGTATAAATGTCATATTTGTTTTATTTAACATTTACTTTATATTTTATTTGTAGCAGTGCTTTAATTTATAGTGTTGAGCTCCTTTAAAAAAAGAAGCAATTATTTTACGATCACTATTTTTTTAAAAATGATTTCTTTAAAAAAAAAATGATCAAAATCATTTTGGAATTCTTTTTCAGAATCTTAAGAACATACAAAATTTTTTAGTTATAAAAACTTCTATTGTCGCTATAAACTAAAGCACATCTAAAGTTATGATATGTAATATGATAATGCAAATTTGATCATAATTTCATTACATTAAATAAATATTATGTATCTCGTTTTAAAAATTGTTAACTTTCTGCAGCTCCTGTCTTATTATTTATTTACTAATTTTTATTACTTGGTCTAACAATTTTATTACAAATGTTTAAACATTAAATTTTCAAAAAAACAAACCTACCCCTAAAAAACTATACTAATTGCATTATTAATTGTTTTCATTATGTTTAGACTTAATATATCAGTAAATAAATTTAAAATGCAAATACCTGTTGGAGATCTACCAAATTAATTCTTCCTAAAAAATGCAACAATAGAATTTAAGAATTAAATTGGAAATAATAAAAATTTACTTTTTTTAATTAAAATACATAATAGTTTTATATTTGATTAATTGAAAAATTAATTTTTTTCAGTCAATGATTAAAAGCAAAACCATGATTATAATAATGGAGAGGTTATGCGCAATTGGAAAGAGAAATTAATTAATACTTAGCAGCTTATATCCTAAAAAACAGTGTTTTTTAGAATAATTATTGTGGTCAATACTATAATAAATACCTTAACTTTTGATTTATTGGATTTGCTCATAAGGCATCAGTAACATTTTTATGTAATACATCAGTAAAACATTAGTCTAACACTAAATTTAACTAAACCCTGGGTTCAACGAAAGTTTTAACCCCTCTCACTATTCTCTATAATGAAAACCTCAAATAGAAAATGTGCTGACTGCAAAATTAGTGTTTCCAAATATCAGAAAGTTATCTTTTGTAGTAAATTTCTTACTTTCATTCACCTAAAATATAATAACCTTATATCGTTATATAATTGTTCATGGTTTTGTATAATTATATTTTCTATTAATAACAAAAGTAATACAAATGAAAATCTTGAGTTAAGCAAATAATGTTGAGACAAAAATAAATGAAATTTCTTCAGTATAAATCCACATTAGGCTTTTACTCTTTAACACTTTAAATGTGTTTAAAAGTTTTTAATTTTTTTTTATCATCAATATTATTTATTAAATGAGTTATATATAGTTTATTAAATGATTTATTAAACTATATATAACACATTTAATAAACAGTATTGATGATAAAAAAAATTAAAAACTTTCAAAAAACAGTTGTTATACTGATATTGATAACTTAAATAATGTGTCTTTCATAATAATGTTTCATTTCTTTCAAAAAAATTTAATAACTTTGAACTTCAATCCACAAAACTTGAACTTGATGTAATTGATAGATTAGAATATATCAGAATCCGGACCAGATCACCAACCAATGACATTTTACTCAATAAGTATTTGTACGATTGCACACCAAATAAGTCATAAGTATTTACATTATTATAAATCATTAACAAATTATATATCATTAATTATATATATAAATTATTTTTTTTACCAATAAAACATCAAAACATTAACACAATTAGTAAACAATTAATAGAATAATTTCAACCTTAAACCATATCCAAGTATTCCTTAGATCTGTTCTTTAAAATAAAGGAAACTGATTTAATATTATTTAAAGACATTGGAAAAAAGCAGACTGGCAAATCAAATTTAAACTAAATTAAAAAAACTTTTTTTGCCAAAACTTTGTAAACAACTTAGGCACAAAACAAGATAAAAACTATATGAAAACTAAGTCTAGACTTTTATATTGATATCTCAGCTATATTAAACAGATCTCTTGCCATTCTACCTAAAATAAGACATTTTGTAGATAGCAATTCCAGAGCTCAACAAAAAACTAATTAGACAGGGCTCAAATTAAGTCCTGATTGCTTTTCATACCTTTGCGATTAGTTTTTTCCTTAAAAAGATATTTTCATGATTTGTTTGAATTTTTTGGGTTTTTATTTATTTATTTTTCTAAATTAGCATTTTTTTGGCCATTCTTAAAATAATGTTTTGTCTAAGTTTTTTTTATAAGAATAACACGCTAAATTTAAGTTTTGAATAGAAACATGATCATTTGCACTTTCACACAGAGATTTTCATTCAATGTAAAGTACTTTTGAAGGTCGTTAAAGCAAAAAGTTTAAAAGGTTTAAGACGTTAAAGCAAATTTTTGCTTCATTCTTTTTTTTTTAACAAAACAGCCTGGTTTTTATCTTTGTTTTTAGAACGTTGCACCAAATTACCTTATAATTAAAAATTTAAATTATTATTTTATCAAAAATTTTATCTTATTAATTTAGTTCTTTAAGTATATTAAAATGTATATTAAATTCGTTTTTGTTAAATTTTTTTTCAATACTTAATGCTAATAGAAACTTGCTTTTTTTGCAAAAATGAGGGTCATTCCTGAAAGTTAAATGTATATCTAGATACAGCAACAATGTCGGGTTTAGAACATAGTACAAGTGAGGAAGAAAATTTTATCTAAATTGTAAGCATTTTGAATAGTAAATTTTTCTTTGTTTCTTGAAAAATAGTTTTTAAAGTAGAAACATTCTATTGCAAAAATTAAACCAGTGATTATAGCAAACATTAAAACAAAAATTAAATTATAAAAAATTTAAATCAAAAAAAAATTATTTTCTGTCTGTTCAAGGAAATTTTTTTACACAAAAATTTTTTAAGCATATACTTAAACTTAACAAAATATAAATTGATTTATTAAACCATATATTTTTCTCACTTTTTATTACAAGACAATTTGAACAAAAAAATTGAATGCAAACATTAACTTAAAAATCATTTGAGTGAAAAAACTATTTATACTTAAATTTTTAATAGCATGTTAGATTTTTATTAGTTATAGTAATAAATTATAAAAAATGTGGCATCTAATATTTTGCTTTGACCTTACTTGTTTGGTCTATGGATATGCATGCTTATGCATTTATTTAACCAATTATTTCTGCATTTTATGTTATTAAGTTATAAAAACTTAACTTTATAAAGAGGGCGGTAAAAAAACTTTTTTCGCAATTAGATTTTTTTGTATTTATTTGAGCACTGTTAGAATAACTTTTTTCAATTGAAGCTTTTAAAGGTAAGGCTTCCTTAGTACCAAAACACATCTAATTTGTATGAAACTTTCCATATAGGTTTAAAAGGACATCATTCAAAGATCTGCACCAGATATGGCATCAGTATTCCATATAAAGACTAATTTGATACTTATAGAGATAAAGAATAGAATTCTGAGTAAGAAAGTGGCATGCATGATAAAGAGATGCAATCTTAGCAGATGCTAATTTTGCAATTGATTTGTTTCCAAAAAAATTACAGGCCTTGCGATAAAGCGTCGGGCGATGTGAATTTTACGTCGTCCAAGAGCGATTTTGCGTGTAGCTAGGGCTATTTGCGTCGAGCAAAAAATTTTTTGTTTGAGTATATTTAAAGATATTTTTGAGCGGAATTTTAATGAAGTAATTTACGATTATTTTAACGTTTAATAAAGTATTTTAAAAACCGCACGCAGTTGAAATAAAAATTTGAATTTAAAAAAATTAAATATGCTCATTATTTACAAGTAGAAAAAATTCAAAAATTAAAAAAAAAGTTTAAATCTTTTAAGCTAACATTTAATTAAAATTATTCAGCAATAGCAAAGTTGTCGATAAAATTGAACAAAAATACTTTCTTTTAGTTTTAGATTTTAAACTTAAATAATTATTTTACAGGGGTTTGATAGGTTTTAAAATTATTCCATAGATTTAAAAATATTTATTAACTGTTAGACATATTTAAAGTATTTAAGAGTAATTTTGAGGAAACATTTTAAAAATTGGTGAGCGCAAATAAAAAAAAAAAAAAAAAAAGATTTATATTAAAACGTATTCTACTTGATTCAATAAAAAAGTACAGTTATTAAAACTTTTGTAATAAGTAACTCAAAAAAATTACTTAAATAATAACTTTTTTTAAATAACGCTTTTATGTTAAAAGTTACCGAAACTCAACGAAGCGTGCTCAAGAACAGCTGCTGAAAAATAAAACTTCAATAGTTTTTTGAATAATTTTTAATAATAATTTTTAAGAATAATTTTTTCGCTGAAATATTTCTTTTATACCTATAATATTTTTATTCTAACATTTTATTTTATTTTGCTAGAAATAAAATTCCTTGTTAACATTGAAAAATTATTCAAAACGTTCGTTTCAGTTTTTTATTAATACGAGTGATTGTGCTTATCCAACCGCTTTATGAAAATAAATAAAAATAAATAAATAAATATTATATAAAATCGCTTGTAAAAATATTAGCTATTGCACAGTTTTTAATCGTACAATATTAAAATTTCCAGTTTATTACTCGCTGACTTTTTAAAAAAAAAAAATAATTATTTGAAAAACTTTAAATTACATATTTAAGAAAAAAAAATCAAATATCAGCATATTTTATAATCTTTTTTAAATTTAAGTTATAATGTTTTTTATTTGTTAAGTATAGACAAAACGTGACAAACGTCGAGAAAATAAACAAATGTTTTTACATTTTAAAAAACGAAACATTCCAAAACATTTTTAAATAATAACATTTCTACATAAACGATTTAAAGTAGTTTTGCAGTAATTAAGTAAATTGGTGCAGTTAATGTCGATAAATATGAAAAGCAAATAAAAAAGAATTATAGATTATTGCAATAATGATTAGCTGAAAAAAATTTTATCTTTAGAGCAGTGCCCCTTTATAGTAATTATAGAAAAGAGCCAGAGTAGCAACATTCAGTTCACCAGCCCCATGCTGTAGCAGAGATCCTTTTCAAGCTCAAATGCCTCATCCAAGCAATTAGAGAATGTTGGCTTTTTATCAAGACCAGAATAAATGGTAGTACCATCAGCGAACAATGCCACCTTAGATCCTTTCTGGGAGATTATTAATGTAAATTAAAAAAATGTATAGGTCTAAGGATAATCCCTTGAGGAACCCCTAAAGTTACAGGATGTGAAGAAGAGTGCTGTCTATTGAGGACAACTTTTATACTATGATTGCTAAGGAAGAATTTGATAATCTTAAAGATATTACCTGATACATCCTAAGTGAAGAGCTTATGTAGAAGACCAGCATGTCAAACTTTATAAAATGCTCAAGAAATATTGAGAGCAATAGCCTTAGCCTCTTCCCACTTATTTAATGCAAATTAAAACCTATCAGTTATTACCGCTAACAAATCAGTAGTAGAACAATAATATGGAAATCCAATATGATGATTAGAAAGTAAGTTATTAGATTAAAGATGAGAGATTAAGTGTTTGTTAATTAAAGACTCAAAAACCTTGCTTATGATAGTAAGAAAACTAATGGGACTTTAGCTACATAAGTCAGAACGCTGTCCAGAGTTTTTGAAAATAGATATAACATATGCCGCTTTCCAGCAGGTTGGAAAACAAGACTTTAATAAGCACTTGTTATATATATATATATATATATATATATATATATATATATATATATATATATATATATATATATATATATATATATATATATATGTATATATATATATATATATATATATATATATATATATATATTTTTTTTAAAAAAGGGACAAGGAATTTAATGGAATGTGGACATTTAAACATTTATACATTATCTTTAGCTCTCAATTTTTAAATATTCAAGGTTGATTTATATAGAAAAAACAGTGTTTTTTGAAAGAGTCCATGTGGAAATGGTAATAATAGCCTTTTCTCAAATTAAATACAAGTATTTATTCATGTTTTTTTGAAGATTTGTTACTTAGGATTTATATATAGAAATTATTTATATAATACTTTTTTTCCTTTGCATATCACATGTTTTGAATTTTGAGCTAGATTTTTTATGCTTTCTTATTTTATTATGGTGCCGTTACACAGCCAATTTTCCATACTTAAGTACAAGTTGTTTTATCAAAAAATTATCAGTTTTTCTAGCACAAAAATGCAATAACTTCAGATTAGTTTAACTTCAAAAGATCTCTTATTTTTTATGTTTTTTTTGTTAGTTCTATATAACTATGTTAATCATAGATTAAAGTGTTGACAGAAAAAAATCCTGTGGAATGGCTATCAGAGACAAAAAATAAATTAAAATCTGTCTGCTATGCTTTATTTCAAGCAATCAGGTTAATTGAATTTCTACCCAAATAGTCTCATATATTTTAATCTTATAATGCACAGTAAATTAACAAACTACCTGATATAATAAAAACTGAAACTTACAGCTAACTTAATCAAAAGCTGCCAGCAATATTTAGTAAATGGCTAACTTTACACAATACAAATATTAGTCATTCTAGAGGATATTTTTTTAGAGATGCACTAAGTTTTAGTTACTCTCTCGATATAGCCAAGTTATAAGAGAGTAAATAATATTAGTATACATAATTTTACTTTTGATCTAGATGAGTAATACTTCTATATTTCTGGTAAATATAACAATGTTGTTGTTTACTATAAACATAACGACAAAAATCCTATGGCTAATTATTTATAATATCAGAAATTCGAATTTCAAGATTGGAGCTTAATTCTTTGAGTTTACTATAAAAATGTGAGATAATGTAAAATTTAAGTTATAAATATACCAAGATTTATAAACCTTTACCTCCATGAACTGAAAGCTCATCGCGAATTTCCTTTTCAACTTGTTGAGGAGTTAAATATTCTTTACCATCAATAGTATATATAACATCAAGCAATTTGAGTTTTATAAGTTTATTAACAATTTCGATACAATTTCTTTCAGATAGTTTATGCAATGACTCACACAACTGTGCGCGCTGAAAATCAGCTGCAAGACGTTTAATTTCTTCCCAGTCACTGGCGGACATATTGAAAATTTTGTGTTGTTGGCAGAAAACACGTGGAATCAACGTGTTTTTGAAAATACAATAGATACAAAATTAAAAAAATTACGAGTTTCGATTTTGATTTGCGTGACCAAAAAGGTTTGAAAAAAAAAGCAACTTTTAGTTTTGATCCTTTAAAAATCTTACAAATCAAGTGACGTATTCCATTTTTATATAAAGTTTGATGCCGATATTTCAACACCGTATTATAGTGAAACTAATATAATTACATATAATTATTATATCTATTATAATAAAAGATAAACGAAAAGATTTTTAAATCTTTTTAAAGAGCTCTCAAAACGTTTCTGCTTAAACAAAAACACACACACAGAAAAATAAAAAACAACAACAACAAAAAAGACTTTCTGAACGATTAAAAATGTTTTTGTTTTTAACATTATACGCTGTGTTTTAAAACATTTGAAGAGCTCGCGAGATTTAGAAAAATAATAACGTATATTTACTATAGTAAAGATAAGTTATTATTTTTCTAAATCTAAATAACACACGACTAGTACTAGTCGTGTGTTAATTAGAGGCTCTAGTTTGATGGCATGTATTTTTGCATCTTTCTAGCGGTCTTAAAAAGTTGCGAGTTTTTTTCAAGCTGAAAAAAATTTACAAATATAATTTAATAAAAAATATATTTGGAAATAATAATATCTATGGAGAGTTCAAAACTACTGAGTAAATGGATGTAAAGGATCCAACCACTAAGGTATGTTAAAAATACCGACTACATGCAGAGGCGATTTTACAGGTGGTAGTGGTGGTGGGGGGTGTTACATCCCCCAACGATGGTGATTTTTAAGTTATAGTTGGTTTTTTTACGAATTTAGTCGGCTAGTTAGCTGTTTTCGTTTTGAGGACCTCTTTTTTTTTTTTTTTTTTTTGCAGCTAGTCGGTACATTTTAAGGATTTATCCCCCCCCCCTCATTTTATTTGTTGAATCGCCTCTGACTACAAGCATATGCAGCCAAAAAAGTAAAAGTTAAACTTTGATAAACGTAAATCTCAAAATAAGAATAACTTGCCGTTTATAAAACGTTAAATGTGTATCTAAAAAATATTCCCCTTCCCCCTCATCCACTACCATCAAAAATTCTTGGATCCGTCACTGATAACACTATGTGATACAATTTTTGATCCTTTTATATTTTAACTACTTATATATTTGTCATAAAAGTTTTTTCGGGGCCCTACTCTACCACCCCAGAAACTAACTTTCCTAACTTCCTTAATATCTGAAAAAAACATGATGTTTTTGAACCCAAAAAGAAGGTCATTTTCAAGCTACAGTTGGTTTTTTACGAGTTTAGTCGGGTATTTAATTCACTCGTTATAGGTTTTGTTATGTAAATTTTAAGAATTGTATAAAAATTTGGAAATATTAGTTAAGTAAGAGTTTTTTTCAAAAATTAGTATCACCATTTAGGAAGCAGTGATACAATCATTTTGTTTGAAGCATACCATATCTAAATAATGTTGAAATTGATGAAGAACTATTTAGTTAATCATTTTTGTATAATGACATAATGGAGTCCATTGATTTAAGTTCGGCCGTGGCGCTTTGCTTTATAAGCAGGAGATCCAGGTTCAAAACGAGCTCTGGGCATATTTTCGTGTCACGGTAAGGAAGGAGACGTGAATTTCCTGGTTAGATGCACTTCCGCGGTGCTCTGTGACAAGACCGTTAGGTCTTCTTGGGGCACCTAAAATAACAAAAAAAAAAAAAAAAAAAGTTCAATACTTGCTGGGGTTTATCACTCACCAAGGAGTGTGTGATTTAACTGATTTTTTTTTTTATTTAATAAAGCTTTCTGGATATTTTTTGGACAAAAAAATTATTGGACGCGAAAAAGACGTTCAAAAGACGTTTAGAATTTTAATGGGACGGACGGACGCGATTTGAACGTCCAAAGGACTTCTTTTTTACTTCCTGTGCCCACTGGGTATAAACGCAGACATGTATATAACAATAAAAAAGTAGACCAAATATATTTTTAATTTACTTACTAATTATAACTTAATATGTTATCTAATGATAGAATGAGGTTTTTCAGTTAATTTTTAAAAAGGTAAAAAGTAATAGGTACTTCAAAATAAAATTCGGCAAAACAATTTTATTCCAAAGATTATCTACAACATTTCAAAATAATGTTTTTGTGTAAATATGATAAAAACGAAATTTGTGTAAAATTGATTAAAAAAAAAAAGAATTACTTGTTTGTAGTTATAGGATGCTCGCAGAAGACTGAAGCCAGTCTTGTCATTGAGTACCTTATTTCTAGACGAGTAATACTCAGAAAAAATCAGTTGCATACATGTGTATGTATGCATGTCTTACATATATGCCTTATTATTAATATGATTTTTTTTAAGTTACATTTTTTTTATTAGGGGTTCTCTTTGTTATTTTTATAGGTGTTTAATTTGATTATTTTAGATTTTAGCTTTATTTTCAGAGAATGTTCGTTGTTTAAATTTATTAGTGATTCGTTTCTGGAAATTATTTTAAATAAATAGGGACCACAATATGTAATTGAGAATTTTGAGAGTCATTTTTTCAAACGGTATCTTAAAGTTACCTGTTGCTCTTGTATTGCATTTATTTTTTTATTTTTTTAAAAGGCGTGTTGTAAAATGTACTGGAATCATACTTATCTAATTAACTTAGTGTTAATTCCGGTTTAATTATAAATAAATTATTATGTTATTTGTCAATACAATCATCATTTACTCGTTAAAAATCAATTATTATGTTATTTCCTAATATAATTATCACTCGCTCAATTCAATATAACCCACTCAGTTCAAAATATCAACTAAAAAAACAAAAGCGTACAAGATAAATGGTATACTAGCCTCATTAACTGGTACTAAAGTAATACATCACTGAGAAAAGCTGCATTCAAACATGGCGTTCTAGTCTCAACACTCAAAGATCACAAAAATAACAACAGCAAAAGCTTTCATGGCTCAGTTACAACAACGTACTTACGAATGATACAGAAAGAATGATGGTGCATGCGTTCCAATCACTTGATGACTAGGTTTATGGTTTAACCCGAAATGAACTCCTCAAATTTGTAATTGGCTACCTTAAGTGCGAAGATCAATTGCGCTTATTCAAAAGTGGCAAGCCTGGCAAAGACTGGTTTTATGAAGATATGGTCAAAGATATTTCTTTATGAAGATATGGTCAAAGATATTTCAACAAGAAAAGCAGACATCTTAGCATCTAACAAAGCCGCTTCTTGTACGCTAGAAATAATTGATCGTTATTTTGAATGCATCGCCAAGCAATATCAACATGCTGGTATAACTTCTGGGTCGCATATTTTGAATTGTGAAGAAACAGATTTTTTGGGTGATCAAGGAAAAGCATCTTAAAGTATCAAAAAGAGATAAGACGTGCATTTAAACTTACTGGAAATAATGAAAAAATTAATTATACTGTAAACAATTGCTGCAAAGCTGATGAGCATTTTGCGCCACCATTTGTGATACACAAAGCCAAAAGAAAATTTTGTCCTGGCTGGGCAAGAGGTGGTTCAGTTGTCACCAAATATTTAATTTCATTAGATTGGATTAAACACAATACGTTTAGTGAATGTCTGAAAGAGGTATTTATACCCAAATACGCAGGCTTTGAGTTTTTATATGTTTTTATAGTATGTGTTGAGCGTTGAAAAAACGGTATCGAGATAGAGTTAAAGCAATTTTTCATCAATAAATCAATTGTCTGTTAAGAAATTGAAGTTGCATCTGTCCTACTTTTTAGATTGTTGAAAATGGGTACATTGTTGAAAATGGCAGTAGGGTACATTTTTACCAATGTACCCTGCTGCCATTTAATTATGAACAGCTTTTACACTATTGATTCTGCATTCCTAGCGTATATCGGTAATAGGTTTTACTGTCAGATTTTGTACACGAGTTACAAAGCTCTGCCATTTTTGTGTTAAAGCGTCAAACAAAAGATACATTTGTTGCAAAGTTCCAAAAAGTGTCATTGCAATGATTGATAATTTTGCCAATTCTCTAAGAACTGGGTTGAAACTCTGACATCCAGGTGGCACATGATTTTGAATTGAATTAAAGTATACGTTTTTGTGCGCTATGACTGGAGTCTTTTATATTTACTCCGTTATTATATCCTTGGCCTCTGTAGCTCTGCAAATTTAAATTCAGATCTTCAAGCTTTTGTAAGCATGTTTCCACAAGACCTAAGTCCACAAGATCTAAATTTCTACCTGCACTAGGCAGGTAGAAATTCCATAAACATTCATTTATTTATATTAGTCTATTTCCAATGTTGTATATTTGCAAAATTATAGTCATTTTCTCGTAGCAACCAACATCAGGTGTTCTTTTTTCTTTTTAAATTAATTTATTTAGTTTGACTATTTTAACGGTAACGGTATTATTTTTTATACAAAATCTTTATAGCATTACAATATATCATTTAAACTTTTAAAAAGAGAAAATGAAAAAAAATATGAAAAGATTTTTAAATTCTTCTATTTTTAAGTTCTATGAAAAGATTGTGATAACATAATGTTGTCTTTATTTTCTTTGAGCCTCTATCTACTTTTTCATTTCCTTGGTGTGCTGTCCAAAATGATAGAAGAATATTTCGAAGTTTGAACATTATTTATAATTTTTTTAAGGAAGCATCCCGAATCAGATTAAATTACCTCATTTTGAATTGTTTTGCCTAAGTAATGATCATAAATTTATTTTTTTATATACACCGAAATGATCTTCTAGGCATGAACTGAGCTTTCGTGACAATTATCCTAACAATCCAAAAATTCCAATTGTTTAATTGAAACAATCGATTCATAGTGCCACAAAGTGCTAAAAATTCCATTGTGCAAGAAACTAAAAAATTGAAATAATTATTTTTAAACATTGTTCCAATGGTGAGTTTAATTTTTAAACTAGTTTTTTTTCCCTTGTCAATCGTCTCTCATTCCTTTAAACAATTTTTAGGTTCAAACCAAGCGATGGCAGCACGAATGTGCTTCGCTAATGCTTCGTAATCGGCTAGAAAACTAAACAAGTTTTTCCAATTCCTATTTTTTTAATTGTGAGCTTTATTTTTAGATCTGAGAACAATTGACAGCAAAATAAAAATACAGCATTTTGGTTTGAATAAATTAGTCAACGACAATATTCCCTATTTCGTAGTTTCCTAAAAAATGAGTCCTACAGATGTTACAAATATCGCTTTTCAAAACTCTTATCTTGGAAATAATTTGTTACTGAATTACAAAACGATCTTTTTTCGACCATATAAATAAGTTCTTTATTGCTAATTGAAGATGGCCATAAGTATCTTTAAATCAAAGTTGTTATTTTGGCTCTCATTTGCATCGCTTGAATCTGTATCTTCCGTGCCCATGATTTTTTTTTTTGGTATTATCCGATTTATTAACCTCTTCTTCTAAAGCCATCTGACTACTTTTATCACATATTAGCGATTGGAAAAATAATTGTTTATCTTTTTAATTCTGAGCATCTGAAGTTGATGTTGTCAAATTACAAGAAGCCTCTCCTCCGCTTTTCTTTTCCGTTTTAATGCACCAGACTTAAAAGAACGTTTTAAAGATTTTCACAAAAGAAACCAGCAAGGATTAATTTCAAACTTATTACATTAATTCAATTTCGTAATTTAGCTCTTTGTTATATTTATAGTAAAAACCAATTAATTTTATTCCCTTTCCTAAATGACCTTTTAACTCGTCTAATAACGAATTCGTTTAATAAGTTGTAGATATTTATCTATCAACGTTTAAATAATTTAATAACTATAAACCTCATTAAAAAAAGCAATGAGAAATAACTTTCTTTTTGAAATAAAACTTTCGTTCAATATAAACTTCTATCAACTTTCATAGAGTTCTATCAATGTTCAAAGAATTTATATAACTATGAAAACCCATTAAAAATTGTAATAAAAATTTTTTTTTTTCGTAATCAAACTTTAGAAAATCTTCAAACCTCTAAAAACTTAGGTACAACTGAAAGGTCTGCATCAATCAGAGCCCGTTGCGGCTGTCTACTTTGCTTATGCCAAAGACCGGCCCTGATCTTTAATATATTAAAAATAGAAAAGTATGTTTTTATTGATAAACGCCCATAATAAAAAACTGGAATCATTAAGGAATAAGGAATGATTATATCAAGGCCAATGCAAAGGAAGTAAGTGCGAGTGGGCGTACTCTCCACCCCCATTTAATGATTATTTACACCATTAATCGGTAAAAAAAAACCTTTTTTTGATTTTGGGATTTAAATAATTTATCTAAATCCCACAATTAAAATAGGATTTAGATAATTTATCTCTAGCCAGCAAATTAAAGAATTTAAAATTTTTTTAATTTTTTTTAAGCAAAACTCGTAGGGCACCTCTCCCACCTGACACCTACTCGCGCTAGCCCTGCATTTAATGGTTGGTCTACTGCAAAACCGATTAAATATTACCCTTTTTATGATCTTTAAAAAAAATATGTTTAAGTCGAAACTTAAACATTATTTAATAAACCCTGTGAGGACGTAAACAATAACTATATATAAATGAATATTATCAAACACTTATTTGTATATATATATATATTATATATATATATATATATATATATATATATATATATATATATATATATATATATATATATATATATATATATATATATATATATATATATATATATATTCTATTTTTTAGCTATGTTTGTTTGTCTATGGTCTCTCTCTACAATTTAGCTCTGCTATAAGAGGGTAAACCATTTAGTGTATAGAGTATTTTACGAAAACAAAAATAAAACATATTATATTTATATTTAGTAAATATATTGTTGTTGTTGTTATGCAGTTGTGTTATTGTTGGGTAGTTGTTGTTGGTGTTGTTGTTTTTGTTCTTGTTGTTGTTATGTTGTTGTTTTTATTGTTGTGTAATTATCTATACACAACTACGTGTGGTCTTTTATGATTTTACGCTTTAGATGAATATGAAATAAAAACAAAGCAAATTCAAGTCAAAAAATTCCGGACCTCAGTGCAACAGCAAAAAGTTTACATGAGTTCATATCAAGTAAACAGAGTTGTAGTTGTTTAATGTTGTTGATCATCTGCTTTTTACTATTAAGGATTAAAATACTATTTTATCAAGCATGTAAACTGCAGTAGCGCCTAAGATTTGCTTATAGTCCTTTTTTTTTTATAATAAAAAGTTTTTTGAAAATGATTAAAAAATAAATAGTTCTTTATTATGTAATTTAATTTTAATCTATTGTTTATAAATACGTGAAAGTTAGGTGCTATCGTAAAAGATGTTTTACGTAGTAGTCAAAATGGATTTTTTGCTGATTTTTTTATTTATTAAATAGCTAAGCAAATTAAAAAGCAGTAAAACTATAAATTACAAATTTTCAAAGTATCTATTTAAATGGCATTACAGTGTTACCAACACTTATCAAAATGAAAATAAATCTTAAAAAGTCCTGAAAGATTTTAAGAATTTCTTTTTAAGTTTAGTATTTAAGATGTAATTAAAAAAGCAAGTTAAAGAAGTATTAAAAACTATAACTAAAAAATTTTCCTAACATGCTTCAAAAGGCATTATATAGTTACCAACATTTATAGAGAAGGGTAAAACAATATTTTAAATAAATAAGTAAAAATTACAACTTTTTTCTTATAGTTTTGTATATTTTGTTAAAGTCTCTAGACCTAGAGGAGGCTCTTCAAATTTTTATATGATATATTTATATTACTAACTGTTTTATTTATTTTTCAGGTGAATAAATAAAATTTATATTTCAAAAGAGTTTGCAAATGCTCAGATTAGATAAAAGATGGCTGATAAGATTGTTAAAGCTTTTGAGGCTTTGAGAAATCATTATCTCCAAGAACCAACACATACTCTTACTCAAGTCCAAACTTCAGAAAGTGATGGAGCTGTAATTAAGTATGTATAATAGTATTTATATCCATTTTTACAAATTAATGTTTATACATGTATGTTGTTTATTATATTCTAAATAATATAAAATTAAAATTAGTTTAACTTTCATATTTTATTCTTAATATTAATTTATTATTAGTTAAGTAGTAATAATTCAGCAAAATAAAAATAAAATTCTTTACAAAAATCTTTGATATTTGTAAAGAAAACCAAACTGTTTGATTTGTAATTTATAAAACCCTAGCTGTAAAATTTATAAATAGAAAATTCAAAAATTTAGACCCAGTCATTTCATCTTATGCGCCACAAACTTAAGCTCAAAAGCTTTACATATATAAAATCAGACTTGTTCCGCTTTGATTTTAGATGATTGTAATTAAAGTAATTTTTTATATATACATACAATCTTTGAGGTCAGTGACTTGCATCTCAATTTAATAAGTTAACATAAAAATTATGAAAAATTTTAAACTAAAGTTAAAAAAGTAAACTTTTTTTATTATAGAAAAAAGGATGCACTGTTAAGTGTACGAGAAAGAATCAGCCATTGCAACACAATAGCAGATTTCCTACCATTGTCTAGTGTAAAGTATGTGAACTTTTGATCTTTATTTTTATATTTAATTTTAAATTTCACAATTTTATACAAATTAGGATTATATTAAGTAAATAATTGTTATTTTCAAAACTCAAATTTATTTTCAGTTATCCTTTAATAACTGAAGTATTTTCAATGATAAGAAAGTAATCATTCTAGTTTTTTTAGAGTAATCTCCTATTAAAAATTTATTATTAGGAAAATAGGTGATTTTCCTCATTTATAGAAATATAGGTGATTTTCCTTGTTTATAGGGGTATAGGTGATTTTCCTTGTTTATAGGTATATAGATGATTTTCCTTGTTTATAGGGATATATGTGATTTTACTTGTTTATAGGGATATAGATGATTTTTCTTGTTTATAGGGATATATGTGATTTTACTTGTTTATAGGGATATATGTGCTTTTCCTCATTTTACTTGTTTATAGGGATATAGATTTTTTTCTTTTCCTCATTTTACTTGTTTATAGGGATATAGATGATTTTTCTTGTTTATAGGGATATATGTGATTTTACTTGTTTATAGGGATATATGTGCTTTTCCTCATTTTTAGGGATATAGGTGATTTTCCTCATTACTAGCGATATATGTGATTTTCCTTGTTATTAGTGATATAGGTGATTTTCTCTGTTATTAGGGATATTAGTGATTTTCCTTGTTATTAGAAATATAATAGATTTTACTTGTTATTAGGGATATCAGTGATTTTCCTCGTTTGTTTACTTTGGCTATTGAATTGCTCTTGATATGTTGTGATGACAATGAAGCAGATGTGCGACTCTTAGCTGGTGAATGTCTCAACAAAATAATGAAGGTTTGCTAATATGTTTTGAAATATTGTATTCAATATTTTGTAAAATCTTGTTATATATAGACATTGCATCAGTTTAAATGTTTTAAGTTGAATGTCATTGTAATGCAAAAATAATTGACTAATAGACTGTGTTAATCTAACAAGGAAACAACTGAAAACAAAATAAAACTGCATCTTTTTTCAGAGATTTTGCTGATTTTCTAATGAAACCCCTGTAAAAGAGTGTTTATAATGGTCTATATCCAATGTGTATACAATGGTATATTGTTAATACAAATAATCATTGTTTACACATGTAACATGTATATTTTTCATGTTTAATGGTGTTTATACAGTCGGATCATGGTCTGTTGCCTGCCAGAGGACTAAGAGCCATAATTTAGCTAATATTTTGAGTTTTTAACTGCCTGCTAATGTTTTGAGTTGTCCACTTTTATTTTAATTTTGCATATTTCTTGTACAAAATCATTTTTGAGTACTTTGGGTTAACTAGAAAATATTTTTGCAAACCAAAATAATTATTAAAAACTGTTGATAATATTCACTGTTCTAATCCTAGATAAAGAACACTTCGGCATGAATGACTTGAATTTTCTCACTTGCTTTAAGCACTTCTTTTAGAAATATTTTTTTAACACAAAGTCTTTATAAAAATGAATGAAGTTTGCAAGAATACTAATGATTTTAAGACAATAAAACAAAAAACAAAACTCAAAAATGGTTTTTATCATTATTTATGTACTATCATTATCATCTTTGCTGTCTTTGCTCTTCAAAAAAATTTTATTTCATTTTTTTTAATGCTAAATTAAGAGCACAAAATTTAAATTAATCTGTTCTTTTAAGTAAATTTTAATGAATGATTAAAACTTATTGTCTACTGTATATCCTTAAACAGTATTGAATAATGGTTTAAGAATATTAATAATAAAAGTTATTGCTTATAAATATAGGTATATTAAGTATTTGAACTTATTTAATAATGAAATCTATAATTAAAATCTTATTTTTAAAAAGTCTATCGAAGTATAGAAAAAATAATACTGAAAAAACTCAAAGTGATAGAGCGACAAAACAAGTTTATAAAAATTGAATTTATTTTTTCTTTTTAAGTAAATTTTAGCTGAAAAAGTTTTAACAACTTTAGACTGTACATCTATATATATGCTCTTATGCATTGTAAAAATTTTGTTTTTTTTTGTTCTTTAATTATGTAATAATTTAATTTTAATGATTCTTTAATAAAAAATGTTTAATATCAAAAGTTTGTAATATTTTACTCAATTTGAATATAAATTTACATCTGAAATCTGGGAAAAGCTTTTGTTATAATTATTTAATTAGATTTTAGAAAGTTATTAGAAAACTAAATGGAGATGAGATAGATGTCATTCAAAACATAGAAAAGGTGCATATTTCTGCAGCCTTAATAAAGATAAAAAAAAAATGCTCTATCTGAGGAAAAAGTAGACTTGATACAGATGCAGTTTATGGATCAAAGTTTCAGTATTCAGAAATGAATTCTCACCCATCTGGCATTTGTGCCACTTTTGTTAAAAATTATTTCTATTTAAAGAAAAAAGTATAATTAACAAGGTTTTAGTGTAATATAAATTTTTGAGTTTGACATAATATTGCTTTAATTAATTAAAAATTATAATATACTGAATGATTTCAGTATTAGTAAATCAGTGGAAGAATCCTGGAAACAAGATTTTACAAAAAACTGGAAAAAATGGGTGTTGTTGATAGGTATTATGTGAGTGTCCAATTTATAGGCTCGGACTAGATACAAGAAGTCATAAAAAACAAAACCTATTAGAATTTGTAAATGAAATCTTAACTGAACAAAGGAAAGTCTAGAGACCTTGACATAGTTTAAAAGTTTGCCAAATATTTTTGCGTTACCGTAACTTTCTATTTAAAGCAAATTGATGCAGTGTAAACAACATTTCAAGTTAAAAACAATTTATTGTTGCAGAGTTTTAATTTTAATATTATTAGAATATTTGTTCTGCAGGGTTTTCTTCATTCAAATATTGGAAGAATCCAGGTTGAACTTTATAAAGAAATAAAAAAGGTATTATAACCAAGATAAACATTCTATAAAAATATTATATCTATTATGCATCATAGTAGTAAAATAAAAGTGTTAGTTAATAAGTAAATTAATATGTTAAATTATTCAGTTATTCAAATTGCTTCTTTTTCTGCCTAGGTCTATTAAGATGGTTGGATTTCGAAATTTTTTTTAACGATACATATCTTTTTTATCCTACATAAAAAATCTTTATGGCTTAAAATTGACTTATTTTGATTTTATTATTTTATTGGCATTGGTTTTTTCTTAACAACATAATTAGATAACATAATTTGACCTAGATCTGATCTGATTGATGGGTGAATTTCTACTATAATTCTACATTAATTAGTGTAATAAAGTTAGTGATTAAATTAAGTATTTTAATAAAATTTACTTAAAATTTGCAGAATGGTTCAAGTCGCTCACTGCGAGCTGCAATGCAAAGGTTTGGGGACACTTGCTATTTGATTCATCCAAACAAGTGCAGGTTTTTATTTCAATCTAAATTTATTTTAATTTTAAAAATCTTAATCAAATTATAGATTGAAATTTTTTGTTTAGTTGATATATTTAGTTTTTGTATTTCTAGACCGTATGTTGCAAACCTATTACCTTGTATTGTAAAGATTGCAAAGCGAGAAGATGATGCAATTCAGGAAACTCTAGGTGTTATGATGAGCAAGCTGTGTCCAGTTATCGGGAAGTTCATGAATGAAGATGATGTAAAAGTAAGACCTAGTTTTTATTATATAACATGTTTAAACAACCATTTTGATGTTACAGAGGCATACCCTGTAAATAACCAGGACTCTGATTCAATATTCAATATTTTCAGCCCTGGCTAAATAATAATCTTAGCAGGGTTTAATGGTTGGGGCTGAGATATAATGTATAATGAATTGTATCTTTATGTATTTGATTGCTATTTATTACTGGCATATAATGATTTTTAACTTGTTTCTCTGTGCAACAGCATTGTTCCTTAAGGCTCATGTTTGTATATATTAAATATATACAAACATAAGCAATGTTCCTCAAGGCTGAAGGTTTGTATATATTAGTGATGTACCGATATCACTTTTTTGGCCAATGCTGATACCGATGCCGATGGATGGGAAAAGGCCGCTACCGATGCCAATACCGATAAATTTACTAATTATTAAAAACTTGTAAATATTAAACCATACAACTTCAAATCGGTATTGGTAAACAAATACTTGGACCAAAATCAAAGCTAAACAATTATTTTAAAAGATATTAGAAAAACTTTTTTTTTTCTACTATGAAAAGAAAACTTTCAAAAAAATAAATACAATTTTAGAGGAACGCTTTTTATTTTAATTTAAAAAAAAGAAAATAATCATATGCAGTTTACTTAGAATTCTTTTAAATATGAATTTATTAGTAATTTAGATATCTAAACAACAATCATATGTTATTCAGACATAAATTATTTTTATATAAATAAATTGTTTTTAGAATTATTTTGTTTTGTGATGTTTCCACCACGTCCCTGGTAGTACAGCGCTTAACTTGTTTTTACACGCAGCGGCATTGTTCATCAAGGTTTGTGTTTCTAAGTAATAAAGTTGAGAGTGGGTTGTAACCATAACTAAAGAAGCCTCCTCAATTGAAGTGGACTACGTGACCTTAGGGAGGTGAATTGAAATAAAAAAATTAAAAATATAGAAATATACTTGGTACTTGGCTATACTTAAATACATAAAATAAGGCTGAACTATTTGCAAAAAAATTCTCTTCTAATCCAACTCTCGAATCTTATGGCCATTCTCTTCCTTCCATTCTAATTAAACAGGTTAATCCATTATTAGACATTCAAATCATTTCAGCTTCCATTGCTCATAGTCATATCTCGATTAAACTCTTCTATGGCTTGTGGTCCAGACAACATTCCTGTCACAGTCTTAAAAAATTGTTCTCCAGAACTCTCTTCAATTTTCTCTTAACTATTTAATAAGTGCTTGACTGAATCTTGTTTTCCTGCCTGCTAGAAAATGGCAATTGTTGTTCTAATTTTTAAAAACTTTGGTAAACATACTGATCCCTCCGATTATTGTCCAATCAATCTTCTTTCTGTTATTAGCAAGGTCTTTGAGTCTTTGATAAACAAATTTCTCACATTCCATCTTGAGTCAAATCACTTACTGTCAGACAAATAACTATTGCAGCACTGTCGACATTCCTATATTGATGAATGGCAACCCTCTCACTGATTCCACTTCTTTATTTCTTCTTGGATTATCATTTACTACTGACTTTTCATGGAAACCATATATACAATCGATTGCTAAATTAGCATCTGCTAAGGTTGCTTCTTTTTATCGTGCTCACCATTTTCTCTCTCCTGATTCCTTGACCTGGTCTATCTGCTAAGCTTGAGCCTCTTTCCCATCATTGTAAAGTTGCATCTCTTTCTCTTTTTTACAAATACTATCATGGTTGCTGCTCAAAGGAGCTTTCATCTTTAGTTCCATCAACCAAAACTCATTCTCGCTTGACCTGTCATTCATCTAAGTCTCATTCTTCGACTGTATCTGTCTCTTCATGCTCCAAAAACCTTTATTTGTCTAGCTTATTTCCACGCACTTAACCCTTTGGAACTCTGTCCCATCTTCATGTTTTCCTGACTCATACAACCTTCAACTTCTTCTGTCAACCGTCTTCAACTGTATTCAAAGTCTTCTGTCAACCGCTTCATTGCTCTATAACTCTACTCTTTTTTTCAAGCAACTCCCAACTTGATAGTGGTTGCTTGAAGTCTAATTGGGAGTAAAAAAGAATTAAAAAAATATAGATAACATTGCTTAAAAAGATTACTTTTAATGCTTTTGCCTGAAAACAAAGTCAAAGTAAAAATTTTTCCAAAAGGTTCTAAGTAATGCACAAAGTTTAGTTTATTTATTATTTAATTATTATAATAATGCAGGATAAAAATAAAAAAATGCCATTGATTGGAAAATCAGTAAAACTGGCCGATGCTGATACTGATTCCGATTGTGCAAAAAGTGGCCGATTAAGCTGAGGCTGATGCTGATGCTGATTAATCGGTACATCACTTGTATATATATATATATATATATATATATATATATATATATATATATATATATATATATATATATATATATATATATATATATATATATATATATATATGTATATATATATATATATATATATATATGTATATATATATATATATATATATATATATATATAATTTACATATTATGTATACAGCAGTATGGGTAAAAGCAGTATGGGACTGACCTTTTTTTTGAAGGAAAATTTATTGGTTTGAAAGAATTTTACTGAAGTTTAAACTCGTATGACCCCTTTTTGAATATTTATTGTTTATTTTATCCTATTGTTTACATTAAAAATCAGTTTCATATTAAAGTTTATTCTTCTTTTGTCAACAAATATTTCATATTTAGACTTTTGCCATTATTAACTTTTTATTATTTTTCAATAAAATAGAAATATAAACTTTATATAGACAGAGTTAACCTTACCCTGTAAGTCCTACCTGTATATATATAAAGTCCTACCTGTATATATATAAAATCGAACCTGTATGTATATAAAGTCAGATATGTATTTATTAATGAGAATTAATAATAATGAGAATTAAATTAAGAAGGAAAGAAAATTAATGATGCAATATACTAATTTACTACTTTTTAGATAAGATATATAAATATATAATATTTTGACAAAAATGGTCTTAAAAGACGTCATTAAAGGAAGAATTATTAAAATCTTATTATTTAAAATGACTGATTACAAACAAGATTGTATGTGAAATAGCACTGTTACAAACATCATCAATCTAAATCAGAAAGAAAGACTAAAAAAAAACTAAAAAAAAAAAGGAAAAAAGATTGATGTATTGTTTAAACTGCTCTTAAAAATTGCTACATTTCTACAGATGAGATAAAAGCAATTGAGAAATTAGTTTTTTTTTTACTCTGAATTTTCTCCTTTTATCTGTAGAAATGTGGTTTTTAATCTTGAATAATGAATACAACTTCTATTTTAAATATGTTGTTGAGAAAATAAAAATAAAATAAAGTTAGAATTAATATGAAACTCATTTTAATATGAACAATAGGATAAAAGAAATTTAAAAAAATAAATGTTTAAAATATTTATTTTTTTACAAGAACATATGGGTTTAAACTTCAATGAAATTCCTTCAAAACCCATATATATATATATATATATATATATATATATATATATATATATATATATATATATATATATATATATATATATATATATATATATATATATATATATATATATATATATATATATATATATATATATATATATATATATGTATATATATATATATATATATATATATATATATATATATATATATATATATATATATATATATATATATATATATATATATATATATATAATTAAATTATATATATATATATTATATATATATATATAATTTAATTATTTATATATATATATATATAATTTAATTATATATATATATATATATATATATATATATATATATATATATATATATATATATATATATATATATATATAATTAAACATGAGTTATAAAGCGTATCTAAACTATGTGATCTTTTGTTAGTTGCAAACAAATTGAATTCTTGAAGCATGGTTAGTTGCAAACAAATTGAATTCTTGATGCATGGTTGACTTATTGCAATTGACTACAAAGTTGTCTTTTTTTCACAAACTTTTCTAATCTTTCAGCCATAGATTCCGATGACTTTTCTAAACTGACATTACTATTGTTAAACTTATCATTAATCATAATATTGTTGGGGTTATCATTATCATTAATTTTATCTCCTACTTTTAGTATATTTTTAAATTAGGAGAATAGTCTCTCAGCTAATTCAATAGCTATATTTATCATGTCTGTTTTAGATGGTATGCAAAACAAGTTATTATACATATCACTTTTTAAAAACTGTGAATTATCTAAAAACCTTAATAAACCAAGAAGATCACTTTTCCTTCTTTGACATACCATTTCAATTAGAGCATCATCAGTATTTTAATGTGTCATCAGTTGTTAATTATGTTGTGTCCCTTCTACAAATCATTTCAAAACCTAAAAAAATTGGCTCAAGACTTTTTGCTAAACTTTCAATGTATCAACCAATATACCTACAAAGTTTTTGTAGGTATATTGGTTGATACGGCCATTATACAGCTCACAAAAACCGAGGCCTTTGTGGTTAAAACATCCCCATATGCTGACGAGCCTCCACCAACTTGTCGTCTTGGTTGTAAATAGCACTCGCAAAATTTCTCAGTTGCAAATCTTTTAATGTGAATTCTTCCTTTGCAGTTCATGACCTAAAAATTTGATTCATTGCTCCAAATCACTTTTGCCTAATCTTTAACTGCCCAATGCAAACGTTTTTTAGGCTTTCTTATTGCAATGTAAGACCCAATACCTTTTTTTGCTAATGTTCTTTTAAAAAGTTCTTTGTTTACATTTTGATTAGAAAAAGGTTGGTTGAATATTTGAGCTAGCTTTTTGTTGCTGAGCCTAGGATTTTTTCTACTGGTTCTGAATATGCTACTTTTGTCACGGTCACTAAACTTCAGTGGTCTTCCAGAACGAGGCATGTCAACAACATTACCTGTTAGCTCCAAGGTTTTCACTGTTTTTTGCACGCAAACTTTAGAAACACCCATAAGTTTACTAATTTCAACATTGTTATGATTCTTTGATTTGACCAGTAAAATAATTTGCCATTTGATATTCTCTGACAGTGCTTTTCTACTCATTTACAAATAAATTGAAATTTAAAATATTTCAGTTATTCTTTAGATAATTTTTTGCAATTAAAATATTTTTTTGTAATTTTAAGATTAGTTTTTAAGGATTAAGAATTATGAGTACCTTTTATATTTATAATTTATAGTGGTAATTAAGTATAATAATTAGTTATTGAGTGTGAAAAATGTATAATTAATTAACTCAATTAAACTTTTATGTCATCAGTAAAATATATTGTATAACATTTAATTAGTTTTACAGAAATAGTGTAGTAAGTGTGAATATTTTTTATTAGTGTAGTAAGTGTGAATAGTTTTTTTTTGTCTATTATATTGATGCAAACATAAATAGCAAACCTCAAAAAAAATAAATCTAAAATCTATATCCGTTAAACTTTAATGTTAGAAAAACTACCACATAGTTATAAAAAACTTGATTAAACTTTGTGCAAAACTGTATATATGTATGTATATATATATATATATATATATATATATATATATATATATATATATATATATATATATATATATATATATATATATATATATATATATATATATATATATATATATATATATATATAAAGGTCATGAATAGGACCCAACTGATTAATAATGTTATTTGGCATTTAAAAGAAAAGACCTATTGTTTTTGTGAATTAGTAAAAAACAAGCGAGTATCAACAAAATAATAAAACATTTAAAGTGCCTTATTCCTTTTTTGAATTATTAAAAAATGCAGGAGTATCAACAATTTATTAAAAATTTATGTTAATAAACATATTCTTATTATTATTTTGTATATTTTATGTCAAAAAGTAATTATATTGTTAAAAAGTTAATAGTTACTAATTACTAGAAAAATGAAAAAAACAAAAAATAATAATTTGAGGTAATAATTTGACCACGGACTGTATATAATGTGAATTTCAATTACTGAAAATTTATTTATAGAATGCATCAATATTTCTGCAGTCCTAACCCTGGTTTTGCTTTATTAAAAACAACTTTGACTTTAGTCAAATATTTGCCCAAGTCATTTACTACCTAAAGTGCTTAATTCTAAGCTTGCATCATTGTCATTTATTTGACATATTCTTTTTTTTTTTCTAGATTTTGATGAAGAATTTTTTGCCAAACATAAAGTCTATGTCTGCATCACTACGCCGTACTGCTGTAGGTGTTTTAGACTGTCTTTGTGAAAACTCTAGGAAACCAACACATTTTTACAGCTGGCTTATTAGCATGTTGTTAGGTGCATGTTTTTAATTTTAAAGTATTTTTATGTTAAAGTTTAAAATATCATCATCATCATCGTCATCATCATCATCATCATCATCATCATCATCATCATCATCATCATCATCATCATCATCATCATCATCATCATCATCATCATCATCATCATCATCATCATTGTTGTCTTTATCATCATTATCATCATCTTTATCATTATCTTAATCATCATTATCAATATGTAATCCTATAAAAAATATATATTTAGGAATGGTCACACCTCTAACGTCCAGTATGCCATCTAATACTATTCTTGGAGTATTGTTATGTTTTCGTGGCATTCTTCCAAATCTTAGTGATTCTGCTCAGCTAAAGCTTAATTATACTGATCCTGTAATAGAGAAAGCAAAACATGCAGCTAATTTTAGTAAAGACAGAGTACTTGAAAAAAAACAGTTTTTGCAGGTATTTTTTAAAAACCTTTAGGTTATATAAATAAAATAATTAATGTTATACATATATAACATGATTTATTTTAACTCATATTATACATATAACATATGCTAAACATATGCTAAAGACATTTACACTTAAAGACATTTGTATGTAAGGCTATACAAATAAAAAATAATTCATGTTATTCATATATAACATGATTTATTTTAACTCATATTATACATTTATTATACACGATTGTTTCATATATTGCTTGCAAACTCAATATATGCTAAAGATGTTTACACTGACAGACTTTGTATGTAACAAGGTGTTTATGTTTGTATTTATACAAATGGCAGAACTAAAAAGATGACATAATTTTAACAATTGGAAATTATCAAAAGAGGGGCAAATCTAAAATTTAAGTTTCAAATTTTCCTCTAAGATGAGACAATACGTTTCCTATTTTTTCAATCTTGTCAATTTTTATTTAAGTAAAATATAAGTAGAAAAATTCAAAACAAAACAGTTTAAGCAAATAAGACTTGTAATTATTAGAAAGGTTTTCTCAAATTACACAGGATCCTGTATAAAATGTTTTATAAGTGGATTTTTACATTTGCATATAACATTTGTTTATTGTTATATTATATTAGATGTTATATTGGATGCTATACAATAAGGCTGCGCTTATTTAGAGAATGTGCTTGAAAAGTGTTGATTAATTACAACCAGTATAAGAATTTATACAATAGATTTCAATTACATGCATAAATTTGATAAATCATTGGATTAATGCTCTGTCATCTGTATCATTTTGTGAGGGTTCAAATCTGCCCCTTAAAACAATATATTTTCAATTTTTTCAATCTAGTCATATATTTATAGCAAAAAAATAAATATAGCAAAAAAGACTTTTAGTTGTTAAAATAATTTTAAAGTTTTTCTAGCTACAGGCATTTTTTTTTTTTTTTGCCTCCACAGCAGTACCTACTGGAGTTGCAGGAGTGTCTTATTAAACTTTTTACTTTATTAAGTTTCAGATTTTTCTTTTTTTTTTTTCAGACCATCCACAGCTTATTAGGACTAATTACCTAAGCACATTAATAAGATAAGTATCTCTATTATGACATGCGCAACAAATTTCTCTCGATGTTTTGATGTTTTTAGAAATTTTTTTTTAAAATTCACTAGAACTTCACAAATATTAATTTTAAAAAAATTGAAAAATATTAAAAAAATAATAATAAAGTGCAATTGATAAGATTTGAGCCACACAGTTTTGCTTTAAAAACTATGCAAGCTAACCACTTCAGCTGCATAGGCGTGTGGCCTGAAAAAAATTTTAAAACTATTTAATGTAATAAAAAGGCTTTATAAAACGACAAATAACCGTAATTATAAATAAACGACAAATCTAATATAAAAGATGTTCTATTAAACTTCAAAAGTTATTTTTGTATTTTAGAAAAATCAAAAAAGAATAAAAAATAAATAAATAAGGTGTCAATGGACGGATTTGAACCACATACATAAATGCAGCATTAAACACACACTTATGACATCATACAAAAGCAGAAAGCTCCGTGGGGGCTTCATTACATAAATTGACTATCTTATAGCCTGGTGCCCCAAAAGAGTGCTGCTACATTGACTTATGGTTTAGCCTTCAATCTTTTCCTTCATTTTTCTTTTTTTCTATTTTTTCTGAAAAATTGAAGTGCACATATTTAGATTAAAAATATAAAAATGATATTAGAAAATTGTGATATAAATCA